TAGAGCAAGAAAAAATGATATTTTTTAGATTTCATTATTGACAAAATATGCTTATTTAAAACAACAAAACAAAACCGTGTTTAACATTCTAAAATATGTCATATTTTTATAAATAAATTTGTCTATACATCCTTAACACGTTCACTACCGCCGTGTTACAGCTGGTCGCTTGTAATAAACCAACTTCGACATCTTTTGAACCCATAAACTGGCGTAGGAAATAAACCTGAGTCACTGTAAATAAAGCCACAAAAGTTAACCAGAGGCCACTTAACTGGCCGTACTCGCGTTATAGACCGAAGACAACATACAAGTCACCACTTGTGACCCAGCTAAATTTATATTGCACCTAAGTAAGATTAAATTTGAGGCCAGTATAGTGGCCGCAGTTCATGGTGAGCCAACCGATTGGCCACTATAGTGGACGCCGGTAGTGAACGTGTTAAATTTGAAATTCTTAAATATGATTTCAATATTTTAAACATTGTATTCTAAAAATTTCTGGACAAATATGTTTTTAATATTTTAAAACAGGGCTTTATTATTCTTTAATACTTATGTCTTGACATTCTTAAGCAAGGTTTTTCAAATGTTTTAACACTGTAAACTTTGCTTATTTTTGACATTCCAAAATATGTTTTTGACATTCATAAGCAAGATTTTAACTTTCTTAACTTTGTTTTTAACTTTCAAAAACTTGTTTTTGACATTCTTAAATATGCTTTTAACATAATAAAATAAGATTTGATACCCTTTTTTAATGTACACTGGGCGTCAAAATTACGCATAATAAGTACCAAAATTCTAACTCTAAAACGCCGTTACCAATCTTTATAAAATTTTGGATAAAAATACTTTAACTTATATCTCAGTTCAAGGGTTTTTGAAAAAATATCCTTAAAGCCCCTTTATTTAATAATAAAAAAACGCTCGAAAAAAAACTTTTATAAGTAGGGAATTTTTTTTAAGTAAATAAAAAATATGCTGTGAAATACCGTATTTTTGTAAGTATACCCTGAAAATGTTGTAAAGGAACAGTAACGAAAATACAGCGTTCAAAGTCGTCAAAAATGACCACTTTTCAGCAAAATAATCAAAAAGGGGTCATTTTTACAGACTTTGAAGCGCTGTATCTTCGTTACTGTTCGTTTGATTTGTACAAATTTTTTTAGGTTATACTAACAAAAATACGGGCTTTAACAGCATATTTTTTATTTATTTAAAAAAAATCCCTAAAAAGTTATTTTTCAAACCTTTTCTTATTATTAAACACGTAAACTGAGATATAAGTTAAAGTATTCTTATACAAAATTTCATAAAGATTGGTAAAGGCGTTTTAGAGTTAATTTTTTTTTACTTATTATGCGTTAATTTTGACAGGCAGTGTATTAAAATTCTTTAGCAAGTTTGAGGTTCTAAATATTATTTTAACTTTCTTCACTATGCTTTGGCCATCTTTAATATTCTAAAATTTGTTTTGACATTTTAAAATATGCTATGAAATTGACATTTAAAATTTTGTTTTTGGCATTCTAAAATATGTTTTAACATTCTTAAATGTTTTTAAAAATCCTTAGCAAGGTTTTAAACTTTGTTTTAATCATTCTAAAATTGTTTGTTGTCATTTTAAATTGTATTGTTGGTATTATTAAAAGTTTGACATTATTTTGTTTTTTGCAAAATTAACGTCAAAAACATTGAACATACAGTACATAGAGCCTATACAAGGAGCCAGAACAATAGGGAAAATTGACAAAACCTGCCCTCCAAATTGCACAAATTAAGTATTTTTTTTCACCACCAGCGGCGCTGATGCGTTTCGGTAGAAATTAAACAATTGTTTCAGAATAAACGGAACACTAGCGCCCTTTTATATTAGGAAGATTCTTGTTTACAAGTTCGGACTCCTTGTGTAGGCTCCATGATACAGTATGTCCACGGTACAGAGTAAAACAAAATTATTTTACATTTGTTAGAAAATTGTATACCTACTTAATAAAAGATTTCCATTCATATTAAACCCTCAGAATATGAGACACATAATTTTTATTGTCTGGTTCATTGTCAATTTTTATTTATCTGAAAATTTTGGACTGAAAAATGTTTGATAAGTTATTTGTGTCATAAGGATGAGAAGTGAGTCTTTTTGTGCTGAGTTCAAAGTATTTACGCAAAATACTTTTAAATACGTTTCCAAATTGTCTCTTTACTTTTTTTAGTAACTTATAAATACTTAGCGGGATAAGTTTTTGAAAACAATTTTTGTTTGATACCTACTTGATTGCGAAATTCTTTTGCATTCTCAAATGGTGAAACTTTCATCCTCCAATGGAAAAGTGGCTTTTCGCAATTTAGCATCAAAAATATCTATTTAAAGTCTAGAAGATAATTAAATAAGTACTTTGGCAGTGACAAATTAAAGAACGCTTGAAGATAAAATCATATTTGGTCAGTTTTCGTTCATTTGTCATTTATCAAAAGTAATTATTTGTATTGACAAGCTTTTACTTTTTAATTTATCGCCAAAAATACATATTTCTTCGCCGTTTGATGTATTTTTTATACTTTAAGTAAACATTATGTCATTCTCGAAAGATTTCTACCCACCGTCTTAACCATAGATGTTTATGGTTTATAGTCATAACATTCATGGTTTCAAAGAAAATGACAAATGAACAAAAACGGACCAAAAATGATTTTTTTCAAAAAAAATTCAGAAAAATTAAAATCAGACAATAATTATGTGTCGCATACTCTGGGGGTTTCAAATCAAGCAAAAACTTTTGAATAAAAGAATTAAATTTTCTGAGAAATGTAAAATAATCTTTTTCCCTCTTTGTAACCCCATCTGTGGACCAGAGTTGCAAATAATGTATTAAGGTTTCAATACTCATTATTTAAATAATGGATGAGTTTAATTTTTATTATGCATTACTTCTTTTTTAATTAATTTTCATTAAATATTTTCCAGTGACAGAGCTGTGCGGTACTCGAGTACTTGTACTCAAATTTTGTACTTTAAGTACTTTTTATGTACTCGGTACTCAGTCCAGAGTACATTAAAAAAAAGTACTTGTACTTATTTAATTTAAAAATGTAAAAATGGACACGAGTACATTGGTTGTACTCGAGTACATTTGATGTACTGGAGTACTTTTGTTGTACTCAAGTACTTTTTGTACTCGGCATCTTTGTGTTAAGTTAACATAACCACTACTATAGTATACTACATATAGTGGCACTACATATTCAAATTTATCGCCATAATTATAATGCTTCAGCATCTAAAGTTTAACGGTTCGGCAATATTCGGAATAAATCCTCGATATGGACAAGTTGCTAAAATATCATTGTGGTGCCCTACTTTATAGAGATATTACATGAGGAGTGATTTTTCAAAAGGTCGTATTTTCATTTGCAACAATTTTTCAAAAAAATTACTATAACCTGTATAGGTTAGGGCAATATAGATTATTTAAAAAAAAAATCTGATGAATATTTAATAATAGTTTAGACCTGCTGTCATATTTCGCCGTTAATATATGCCTTTTAACCATACCTTTGGGATTTTGTCAAAAAATTACATTAAAGTAAAAATGGAAATAAGGCCTTTTGAAAAATCACTCCTGACATATTACAAGTGGTAGTGCCCTTTTTTTATCTCTGGTAGTGCCGTCATAATGTCATATGTAACGGTTTTTTTTTTAAGAAATTTGAGATTATTCTGCAATTCAGAATCTGCATTAGTATTATTTTGGTGCTTTGGTTTTTGTTATACTGGGGTAAGTAAGATTTTAAATATTATTTTGTATTTGATACGCTTAAAAAATTAGGTTATATTTTCGCATTCAATCTTGTTTTTTGCAGTTATAAATGCATGTTACTTTAATTTAATTTCGTGCTTGCAGTTAAATAATGTTTAGGCTATTTATTAAATAAATAAATTACTTGCATGAATAGGTATACCTATAGGTAATAAAGGTTATATGTAAAAGAATAGTTAATCTATTTTAATATTATTTTTTTCTGTTTAAAATCGAAATAATTGGTTATTTAGAAAAACAAATATTCAAATCATAAATAAATACGTGTATTAAAGAAATATAAAAATGCAGTATTTTTAATTATCCTTAAGTGACCTAAACCTGATATTTTGTTTTGTTTTTAACATTTAACAAACAACTCAAGTACATTTTTTTTCAAAGTACTTGTACTTTTACTCGAGTAGGTACTTTTTTCTTGTACTCAGAACAGCTCTGTCCAATGAGTACCTAATGTAATCTTTTTAAAATTACTTATTTTTAATTTGTAATGAGTAATTTGAGATTTACAAAAAAAATGTATTGAGTAATGTACCTACTCACTTTTTATTTTTAATGAGAAATGAATGAGTATCGAATTACTCATTTTTAGTGGGCGAGGAAGATATTTTTATTGCATGACACATTATTTTAATTTTTGCACGGTTTGCAATAGATATTTTACAAAAAGCATGGACTTTGTGAGCGGAAATAATTTATTATTTAAAAGTAATCAATCACGTTATTGCAACTTCTTTCATTGTAAATCATTTGTATGATAACAAAAAAGTTTAAGGAGCCCATCATTCCCACCCCTGATCATTTTTCACTGATGTAATGGGTAATGTCTTTTGTTACATATTTTTTTAATGTGTAGTGTATGGTCTGTCATTACTCATTTTTTAATGAGAAATGTATTGTTTTACATTACTCATTAATTTTTTAATAATTAGGTAATGTATTCAAGCTACATTACCAATAAAAATAAAAATGACTATTGCACTATTTTTTACATTAACATTTTTGCAACTCTGCTGTAGACATACTGTATAAGGAAAGACAAATGAAGGGCATGACAACTTATTGATTTTTACTCCACACATGGTCGTTTTTTCTTGCATATACCAAACACATATATCTCACAATCGAAATAATAAATAAAATAAACAAATAAATAAATCGAAACAAAGTCTAACTTACTTGTTGCTGTTGACTTGTCGGATGTGCGTGAACACGTTGATGACGTCGCGTATCCGACGCGGGGCCTCCTCGATTTTCGAGGCCAAGCAGACGCAGGCCATCGCGGTGTGATCCACCGGATGCCTGACCAGGGACTTGGAATAGTAGAAGCGCTGCAGCAGCACCTGGCCGGTGGCCATCGCTACCTGAAATCACATCGGCCACAATGCGTTTAGCAAAAATAATACTACACTGGGTTGCAAGAATAATGTCACTAAATAAATTCTACAATTTTATATTTTAATAATATTTTTGGGACTAAAAAACTTAACAATAATTATTTAGGCTCTTCATTAGGGTGGTCCTTAATAAGGTTATTTTCAAATTTCTTTGCTCCCAGGGGGTCAAATGCTTCCAAATTAATAAAAAAAAATTCCCTGAAAATTTGAGCTCTTAATATTAACTCTAAGATAGTGCGCATTCCAATCTAAGTTTCCTATGGAAATAACATAGGAACAATTACTTTTGTTGTTTATAATTTTATAACTTGGGAACGAATAAATTAAAAATTATAAATCATACATATTTTTATAGAGAATTTAACGCTCTACAAAAAAGGTCTCTTATAATTTTTCCATTGGTCTATTTGTTTAAAAGTTATTCAACGTCAAAGTTTAATTTTCATATTATTATTAATATTATCAAGGCTTTTTTATGAGGCGCCGTTTGTGTCAAAATTAAAAGTGCTAAATAAACTTATTTTGTTTTATAAATAATTAATTATATGCTTTACCAAATAATTTTTTTTTATAAAATTATTTTTTTATAAAATAATTTTCAATTCGAATCAAAAATTATTTAATAAAAGACGACGGGCGCATTTATAAATTAATTTTTACTGCAGCCATCTCTATTTGTTTGTAGACACTCGAGTAAACCCGAGTAAACCCGAACGCCCCTCCCCAGATACAATTTTATGACGGACTGGGCTTTTGTTTGACGCACTTTGGGGAAACGATTGAAAATAATAATTTATTATTTTCATTAATTAATTAATTAATTTTTTTATCTACATTTATTTTGATTTTTAGTTTTTAACAAGAATTCTTTATGTTTAAACGTTTTTTATAAGAAAGCACTTGTTAAAAACTAAAATAAATAAATAAAATAATTCTCTTGAAAACAAATTAAAATAAATAAATCAATTCTAACAAAACTAAAAATCAAAAAAAAATAATTTTATAAAAAAATAATTAAAAAAAAATATTTTATAAAAAAATTATTTTATAAAATTTTTTAGAAAAAAAAATTTAAAAAAAAATTATTTTATAAAAAATTAATTTTATAAAAAATTATTTGATAAAGCATATAATTAATTATTTATAAAACAAAATAAGTTTATTTAGCACTTTTAATTTTGACACAAACGGCGCCTCATAAAAAAGCCTTGATAATTTTAATAATAATATGAAAATTAAATTTTGGCGTTGAATAACTTTTAAACCAATAGACTAATGGAAAAATTATAAGAGACCTTTTTTGTAGAGCGTTAAATTCTCTATAAAAATATGTATGATTTATAATTTTTAATTCATTTCTTCCCAAGTTATAAAATTATAAACAACAAAAGTAATTTTTCCTATGTTATTTCCATAGGAAACTTAAGATTGGAATGCGCACTATCTTAGAGTTAATATTAAGAGCTCAAATTTTCAGGGAATTTTTTTTTATCAATTTGGAAGTATTTGAGCCCCTGGGAGCAAAGAAATTTGAAAAGAACCTTATTAAGGACCACCCTACTCTTCATTGTAAAAAGCAACAACTATATTTTATTTTATTGAATCGATACTGCTTTAATTTTTTTATTACTTTATTAAAACATTTTTATTTTTGATATTTTAAAAATATGCTTTGGCCTTCTTAAGTCAAAGACTGGTCTTTGGGATCTAAGTAAATAAAAATATGACAAAAAGAAGAATTTGACAGATAAACGTCAAAAATACTATTTTTGACATTCTTAAATGTTTTTAACATTATAAAAGAATTATTACTCTTTCATAGGTGTTAATGATTTGAACATGTTTTTAACTTTCTAAAATTTGTTTTTGACATCCTTGAATATGTTTTCAACTTTCTAAAAAAGGTTTGATACTATTTCTAAAATCTTTGAATAAACTTTAGCAAGTTTAAGGTTCTAAACTTTGTTTTTAGAGTTAATTGTTTTTTGACAGAAAACGATTTTTAAACAGATACAAGGCGGAAACGTCAATTTCTTGACCGACAAATGACAGAAACATTAAAAAAAGTGGCATATAAATGACAAAAACATTAAAAAAGTGACAAATAGGTATGTTTAAGATTTTATTAACTCCTATTGCATAATTTTGTTTTTTTGAACATTGATAAATATTATAAATTCCCTGCCTAACAACGGAACTAATAAACTAATTATTCACCTTGCTAGGCATCAGTGATTGGCCGATTTCAATTTCGGGTTTTAAATTGGAAGAAGGCGACTATAATAACCATGGAGCCTACACAAGGAGTCCAAACTTCATGTATACAAAAATCTTTTAAGATAAGGCTCTGGTGTTCTGTTTCTCGGGCTTGGTAAAAAGTGAGGTTAACCATTTGACAGATGTCAGATTTAATTTATTTAATTTTGAAAATTATATAAGTATATAATTATTAAATTAGATAGAGTATAGTATTACAATCGAGATTATGTGCATTATCTCTCGTATAATAATTTACTCTTTACTTGCTACAAAATTTAATTTTTGGTAATTTTTAGATGTAAAATGCCATTTGACGACCTTGTAGCAGAAAAAAACTATTAATTTTAGGATAAAAATGACAGAAAACAGCTTTTTTTATAGATAAATGAAACATTAAAAAAGTGACAGAATTTCAAGACTTTTAGGTAATTAAAATAAAATATTTGTTTTTTACTTCATACAAAATTTTATTTTTCTCAATTTTTTTAAGTAAAAATGCTATTTAAAGACTTGTAAAAAAAACTATTAATTTTAGTTTAAAATGACATATCGCACTTCGGCTGCAAGGCACAGCTCAAAATATATAATACAATAAAATTGCAGTGATCAGTGAAAATACTGGAGCATTTTACTGTTACTCAAAAGCCAGTATTTTGTGTTGTGTCACTTTTGCAGCAAAGGTGCAATTAAAATCGTTGAGTTCCACAAGGTTCCATGTACATTTTTGTGAATTTTACAGCAGAGCAATTTTTATGGGTTGCATTGCGGCAAATATTAGTATGATTTATATTACAACGGTTTTTGAGTGGAACAATCTATTACTAACATGTATAATATAAAATAACTGTGTAAATTCTAAAATTTAAAACTCTAGAAGAAAATTAACTTTTTTATTTTAAGTGTAGCAAAAAATTTAAAAGTGTGGTTATGTAGGTACTAAAAATACTTTTTTTCTATGTATAAAAAAATGGAAAATTGATCAATATACAATATACAAAAAGTTTATTTTTTTTCAATGGATCACCCTATATATAAATTAATTTTTCGATTCCTTGTAAAATTCTGAGCATAATTCATATAACAAACCATATACCTAAATTCAACCGGTTTTGAAATATTTGCATTCAAAATGTTATCATTAAATTTTTTTTTAAACTGTTAGAAATCAAAAGGCCTCAGTATACCAAAATTTGTATTGAAAATAAATTATTATAGTGACATTATGTCAATATGTCTTGTTAAATAGGTAAAATGGCGTAGGTACTCAGACAGAGAAAGACAAACTATTTCAACTTATTATCTTAAAAATAATTTAAATATTTCAGAAACGGTTGAATTTAGGTATATGGTATGTCATATGAAATATGCTTAGAATTTTACAAGGAATCGAAAAATAAATTTATATATAGGGTGATCCTTTGAAACAAAATAAACTTTTTGTTTTTCCCTGTATGCTGATCAATTTTATTTATACGTAGAAAAAAGTATTTTTTAGTACCTCAAAACCACACTTTTTGGGACACTTAAAATAAAAAAGTTAAAGGGGGGCGACATTATAGGGCATCACCCTGTACATTGTACATATAGAACCATGTAACCTTACTATGCAATGTTTAACTTTTATTTGTAATTAAGTCAATGGCAAATAAAAATGAGTAAAAATCTTAATAAATTAAACACATCTATTTTTGTGGATGTTTATGCAGTCGATTTATTTATAAGTAATAAAATATTCGTTTAAAAAAATTAATATAAGGTATTTTGATATTAAATTTTTTGCCTCATTATTATTTAACAATGTTTTTATGTACCTAATCCTTATCTTTAATGCACATCCATTTATAAGAAAATATTATGTGCTTCAGCTTATTTTTTAAAATGTATACTGTGTCACAGGTCCCTTAGAGCTACATGGGATTATACTGCCTTCTTTAGGTCAATAGTAAAGATTTGCAAAGTGAAGGATGCAGAATTTTTTTACATGCGTAGGCGACAAAATAAAGTATGGGGAGATAGAGCCCATTCCAAGAAAACACCATATACAACAGAAAGATATATGGAAAACTGCCATAGTAACAATTGGTTAGGTGTTATCACTGAACTGAGAACTAAACTGTCAATGGTCAAAATTTACTTTCTGAACACAAAATTTAGCGGGATTTTAATTAAGTAAAGGGTCATTTTAAGGGGCGGTGAATCCAGTGCCGAGCTGAGATTTTGTTTTAAAAAATCGCTAATATGAATTCTTAAAAATTTACTCTTAAAAACTGAAATAGTAGGCCCGAGTAGGCCTTGTATTTTCTACTAATATGGCGTCTTCGGTCATCTATGGTATTGCTCCAAAAATACAGTTTATCAAGATGTACACTTTAAAACAAATCCGGTTAGTATTGCACAATAAATAAAGATTTTACAGGGGTGAGTCACAAACAAATGAGTCACACTGTATGTGTATAATTTTTCATGGCTTAATAAAATTTTAATTATTAAAATTTTTGGTTAAGAAGTGTCATCTTTTGGCAAAACACCAAAATAAATTTTGACCATCGACAGTTTTAGTCCTCAGTTCAGTCGAGGGATGGCAATAAACATCAAACCAGTTGATCCTATTTCAGTGTTCCATATATCTTTCTTTTGTATATGAATAACACCTTGTTAAATTCATAGATTTTATTGCAAATTATTTATTTTAACATTGTAAAAATTGTTAAAATTTAAATACATTTAAATGAAACACATATTCAAGGTTAAAAAACAACGATTTTCAGAAAAACCTCCAAGCAAAATCAAGTTTTTTCATTCACAATCAACAGTAAAAAAATTAGGTCAAAACTCAAATAACCCATCCATAATAATGTTGTGTAAATCATGGGACAAAATACTAACTACTAATAATGTAATTTAAAGCAGATTTATATGGTTATCTGGTCGCTCCCCATGTCAAACAATAAGGGCGCCCAAACAAACAAAAGGTCAGAACGTCAGAGTGACACCTAACCTCAAAAACAAGTGTCAAACCATGCAAAACTCACCTGCGGTAATTTTAACAGTATCCCGGCCGTCTGTATGAGCTCGCACCCGTAAATTCGCAAATCCATTTCCGAGTCCTGATCCAAACCGTCATTTTGCGAGGGGGTCGGGCTCAATTTTTCCTCGGGCAAAAGTTGATTTTTCAACGTCAACACCACTTTACCGTACGGCTTGTTGTTTTTGACACTCGGTGGCACAGGATCGCTTTTAGAGGATCCCATGTCCAAATTCTTTAGATGATACGTTTTGAAGCGTTTACAAAACTAACAATGAAGCTGTGAAAGACAAAATGTCTCCACTATGCTCAATGCGCACGCGCCAGTTTTGACAATGCGCAGTCAATACCGATGTACTACAAATGCAATAAATCGTTTTAATCTATCAATAATTAACAAAATTTATAATTTATTTGTTAACATTACGAAAATATTCGTTACATTACATTAAATATCGTAAAAATACGTTTTTTAATTCAAATAAAATGGCAATAACAAGACAAAAAAACCAAATACACAAAAATAACAATAACAAAAACCTTGTTTTAGTGTTTGATTACTATTATACTTTTTTAAATTAAAACTTTTAAAAATTAATCCACACAGATAGTACCAACATAAATATTCAAATTATTTGTGTTAAACGTCATTTTACTAATTTTTGGTTATAAACGTCAAAATATTTAAGGAATTTATACTTTTTACTGTTTATAATGTAAATAAACGTTATTCGTGCATAAAAAACATAACAAACAAGTACAAATTGTATACATTTTAAAATATTAACGCATGCGTACAAATGCCTTAAAATCAAGTTGTTTGTTTATAAATTGTTTATAATTTTTTTTAATAAACAAACAGTGTCAATTTGTGACACAAGTAGCGTAAAAACGTGCTAAAACCATTCAGAGTTGGTAAAATAATAATAATTAAGGTAATAATTTTAATATTAATTAATATTAAATGCCGGTTATATTTGACGATTTTTTTATGTTTATTTGGTTGTCTGTTGGTTTTATCTGCTTTATTTTCTCTTAAATTACAGAATGTTTAATACCAGCCAATTGGGGCAGTTTAATGTAAGTTAATATAAGTTTTTTAACACATTAGATTTGTAGGTTATATCTGCGATATAAAATACGTGTTTTTTATAGTTTGCCAACCCAACTAAAGTCCAAAACATGGAAAAATCTCCACATAACACCAATAACATGGACATGAATATGGGTGCAGGGGATAGCAACGATTCATTTGACAAAACTAAACTTATCGTAAACTATATTCCACAATATGCTGTTGAAGAGGATCTGGCTCAAATTTTCTCACAAATTGGGAGAGTGGAAAGCATTAAAATAATGCGCGACTTCAAAACAGGTTACAGCTATGGTTTTGGCTTTGTGAAATATTACAACCAACAGGATGCTGCTAAAGCTATTGAAGCTATTAATGGGATGACTTTTAGGTTAGATTCTGTTATAAACACTTAAATATACAGTTTATTTAATTTTTTTTTAGAAATAAAAGGTTAAAAGTTTCCTATTCGCGACCACCTGGTACGGACATGAAGGACTCAAACTTGTATATTACGAACCTTCCAAAAGATGTAACTGAACAGGATGTGGACAGGTTATTTCAAGATTATGGCGAGATTGTTCAAAGAACCGTACTAAAGGATAAAATAACTGGTTTGCCACGTGGAGTAGCCTTTGTTAGGTGAGTTTTTATTTTTCATTGTTTTGTCCTTTATTAGCATTTTTTAGTTAATGATTGCAAGTCATACTTTTAATAGTATTATATTATGTAGCTACAAAGTTTTATAAACGTCATTTAAGTTTAATTTTAAACGATCAGACCTGCAAACGCAAAGTAATTAAACTCAATTTTTTTTCAATCTGACAACTGTCAAACATTTTTAATCCTCTGTTTTTTCCCTATTTAATGCACTGGTGCATTATAGTATATTATGTATCAAGTTTTATAAATGCGATTTTAGTTACGACTTTTATTAGGCACGGGCGAAGCTTGCGAGCAAGTTTTTAATAAAAACGAGTGTCTAGAGAAGTTTATAAAACGAGTTGATACAATAGTATACTTTATCTACAACCAACAAAAATAAGAATTTAAAGCCAATTTTATTTCATAAAATTTGACATTTGGCGAATTTTACCTCACTTTTTCGTAATTTATAATAAAGCTAATATCAGCCCGTGACTGAAATGCCCAAAATCCACTGTTGTTAACTTCAGCCCGTGACTAAAATGCAATAAATTCCCAACTCGTCAATGTAGGAGTAAATCAGTGTTGCCACTTGTAACATAATTATCGAATTGTAACATAAATTTTTATAAAATCAAAGTTTGAAAATAATATGTGACATAATCGATAACTGTAACATAATTTTTAATCCAAGTATCTGGACAAAATTAACTTAATTCTATCCAGATTAATTAATTTAATTAAGATACCTAATAATTAAGCATGAAGTCTGATTTATAGATTGAATTCTTTCTTTCCTTCCTCCCGTAAAAGATCAACAATACCGTAGTGCTGTTTATAGATTCCCGTACGGTATTTTTTTTTTTTTTTTTTTTAATGTATTTATTAAACCCTAAAAGATTACAAGCATCTACAACAGGTATAAATTAAAGAATATATATTAATACATGTCAAGTTCTCAGTGAGAACAAATAATTTTTTAAATTAAGAATAAATAAGTTTAAGGATGTAAGCATTTTAATATTTTCTGGTAGTTGGTTAAACAATATCACAGCCTGAGAGGAGATCTTCTTGTTTCCCACATTTGAAGAATTTGGTACCACATGGAAATGTTGTCTGGTCCTCGTATTGTGTTCGTGTAAATCACAGTTTAATTGCAGCTTAATTTTGGTAATTAAAATATTGTTTTTTATTTTGTACACTAAGATCATGGAGTCTAGATTAATGATTTCCTGAATCTGAAGTATTCTAAGTTCTTTGTACATTTCTATTGTGTTTGCCATAGGTGGTTTATTAAATATTATTTTTAATGATTTGTTTTGACAAATTTGTAAATCCTTAATATCACATTTTCTGGCCTGTCCCCAAATGCATGGGAGGTAAGTTAAGTGTGAATGAATATATGCATAGTAGATCTGGAATTTGGTTTTTTGATTCATTAGGAATACATTTCTGCGTAAAAAGTAGCACATATTGTTGATGGTTTTTTTAACTTCACGTATGTGTTGTTCAAAATTTAGTTTATTGTCTATAGTGAGTCCGAGGTAATTAGCATGTTTTACTTCACTTATTGGTGTATTGTTTATCCTTAGGCTTATTGGTGAAGAGTGTGTATTCTTAAAAACTATATAATTGCACTTATTTTCATTTAACTTAATATTATTTTGACTAGTCCAATCACAGATTTTAATAAGGTCTCTTTGAGCATCTTCGAAAATTTCCCTTTCATTACCAGTATAGAATAGTGCAGTGTCGTCAGCGAATAGTGTCATAGAGCCTTTTATATCACAGTTAGTTATATCATTTATATATATTGAGAAAAGTAAAGGGCCAAGCACCGATCCCTGTGGGACACCAGAACACACTAGACTAGTATCACTTTTCTTATCACAGATCTGGGTAAATTGTTTCCTATTTTGGAGATAGCTAGTAAATATTTTAAAAGCTTGATTCTGAATGCCAATTGATAGTAGTTTCCTAAGAAGTATTTCATGATCTACAACGTCGAAGGCTTTGCATAGGTCAAGAAATATAATCATTGTTGTTTTCTTTTGATCAATACTTAAAAATATGTCTTCCATTAAGTTTGTTATAGCAGTAAGGGTGCTTTTCTTGCTACGAAAACCATGTTGCTGTTCACAAATGAAGTTGCTTTCTTGTAAAAACTGCAGGAGTCGTTTGTTCAGCGTTGTTTCAAATATTTTTGAGAAGACTGATAGGACAGAGATTGGCCTATAATTGTTTACGTCCGTCGTTTGGCCCTTTTTAAAAATAGGTGTGACTCTAGCTATTTTTAAAATGTCTGGAAAAGTTCCAGTCTTGTAGTGTTTATTTATTATTGATGATACCACTGTTGATAATGGCTCGGCCAATTTTCTTATCAGGGAAACTTTTATTTCATCATGTCCAGGGGCAGCATTCGTCTTTAATCCTTGAATGATCGAGTTAATTTCTTGAGGAGTTGTAGGTCTGAGAAACATTGAGGATTTTTGTATGTAGTTATATATTATGTTTTGTTGTGAATGATAATTATTTTGTGTGATTATTTCCTTGACTATATTTATAAAGTAGTTGTTAAACACCTCAGCAAGTTTTTGTTTATTAGTTATTTGTTCTCCAGAAACAATAAGTTTTTCACAGCCTTTATTTTCAACTATCATCCCTGTAAGTTCTTTAATAAGTTTCCATCGTTTTGCAGCCGAGTCATTGTGTTCATTTAGTTTTGTTTCAATATGTTTTTTTTTATTGTAGGCAATTTTGTTTTTTAATTGTTTGTTAAGTATTTTTAGTTCTGTTCTGTATATATCACTTGTGGGAAATTTTTTTGATAGTAAATAAATGTTGTCCCTTTCTTTAATTTTTTCTTTTATTTCCCTTGTGAGCCATCCTTCTTTGATGTCACTTGTATATTTTCTTGCCATTGTAGATGTGTTTCTTTTGATTTCGGTAGTTATCATGTTTATAAGGTGATCAAATGTTAGGTTAGGTTCTCTCAGATTTTGCATATTGTTCTGGACATATGTTTCAAGTTTTTGGAAGTTGGTAGTTTTGGAATAATAAATTTGTCGAGGTTTCTTTGGTTTGGAGCCGTTGATTGATAAATTTATGATCTTGTGGTCGGAGATGTTATGATCGTAGAGTTTAATTTTTGAATCAACCTTTATATTTGTTAGGATGTGATCAATAATTGATTTGTAACCTGTATGTACATCCACTCTAGTGGGTTTAGAAGGGGATATTTCATTTATAATTTCGAATCCATTGCTAGAGACAACATTTATATAGTCTTCTTCAGAGTTCAAAATATTTATGTTCATATCTCCAATTAGTAAGAGTTTTTTATATTGGAGTAGGTCAGATTCAAGAAATTGTATAAAGTCAGTTTTTGGAGCACTTGGTTATAGTTTTAAAGGTAATGGTAGAGGCAGCGGTAGCGGTAGCCGAGTTGGGCATTGAATATTATATGAAACAATTTATAGTATTCAGAGGTAGCGGTAAGGGAAGTAGAGGCAAGAACGTAGCGGCATCTTTTCTTACCTCAACCGCTACTCCAGCCAAATGTGTAAGTTAAAAATGGGTACCTACCGTCATTCGTGTGTATTTAATGAACTTTAAATACTGGAAATGGCTTTTCTTAGCTAGTTCACGATTTATTTCCCTCGATTTATAGCGACCTAGCGACCCCCATACCGTACGTATAATTTTACAAACAGAATGACAATCTGCAACAAAGTAGGCATGGGCCGCCATTACCGCTACCGCTACTTTCTGAACTATAAATATACTATTTTTAACAAATTTTATAATTTTCTTAAAATTCGATAATATTTTTAACCCTGCTTCTTTCACTTTTTACATATTTTATGATTAAATTATAATAACAGGGCTCCCACACCTCCTAAAATTTGGCTTAAATCTTGAAAACTCCTAAAATTCTCCTAAAATTGCATTCAATCTTCTAAAACTCCTAAAATTCTAAAAATTAAATTTAAATAGGCCAACCTGACTGCGTTTAATTAAGGTAATTGTCGCGCTAAAAAATTCTTTTTTAAAAAGTAATTTAAAAATATATATTTTCAGGTTCTATTTTATTAAATTCTTTTTAAAATGATATATCACAACCAAAATTTTTCTTAAAAAGCAACAAAAAAAACTTCTACAAAATTGTCATTTTTAGCCATATTTCGTTTGTTTTAGACAAAAATATACCGTGTTATATATCAAACAAAAGGATTTTTAATTTTCTTTTAAATGACAGCTAAAATAGTAAACAATATAAAGAATGTTTTGCTGTATTTTGCAAAATTCATATTTTGTTATGAGATTTTTAAGTATCCACATTACAATTGAATCGACGAGAATAAGAACATTACAAGTCCACAAATTTAATTTGGACAATTTATTTTCTAAAATTAATTTTAAAATTTAAAATACATTTTTGTGAGAAGATATAAATTATTTTACAGAGTATAAATATTATATTTCATAATATAGTTAAATATTTTAACAAAAGTGCATTTTACTTTTGGACTTCATCATTTGATTTTGGCCTAGTTTTTTAGCCAAATCTATCGACGCATTTTTTTAAATTAAATTAAAAGTGTGCTGAAATTTATACTTGTATTGTAAAGATTTCTCTTTACCCCAAGTTCGTTTAAAACAAGTTTAATGAAAAATTGATAAATTAAATATTTTGTGGCTTTGGCTCGTGATCGTCTTACCCAAATTTGGACCTCTACGCTGTGTTTACTTACTTGTTTTATTAGATGCATTGCTTTAAGAATGATACGTGGGAGAAATAGGTTTATAAGAAATAAAATACAGTGGATTAATTTACCCCAATTTAATTTACGTTAACTTTTTTACAAACAAGCAAGGGGTGGCTCTTAGGAGGGTTCGGCCAGGGAAAAAGAGCCTGAGAAAAAACCCTGGTCGGCTATGAAGTAGCAAAGGAATACGCGGTCAGGCATTCTACTTTAAAAATTACGCAAATTAAT